GACGATATAACAAACTCCTTTCTGTAAAAGTTGGATAATTTTCACAATCAGCATCTTTTGGATTGTATCATTTGGTACAAATATCGTTGAGCATCGCTAACACGTTAGATGACACTTTAAGCAATGGTTGGTCGAATAAATTTAAATGTATAAGTAAAGGTGATATTTATAATCAATAACCTTAAATAAAATGAATAGATCTTCTAGATTGTCTACCTGGACAGATTTGATTTGGTAGATTTGATTTTTTACAAACCATTCTTCCACATAGTAGATAGTGTCTTCCTTTCTTGTAGATTATACGTTTAGATGATGGTTATTGAACCAGCCGAAATCAATTCGAATAGTTTTATAAGTAAAATGGGTTAAAAATAATACCAAATCAACAAATTTTGTTTATTGGTTGCTAAAATTGCTAAAAGGATATGATATATCCTTTTCTACAGCATAAATCGCCCGATAATTCATTTTATCATAATATTTCCAAGAAACAGGATGCTAAAACATGTTGCTTTTAAAACAAAAAAATACTTCCTATGTGTTTGTGCTAATGTTATAATGACAACTAGGTACGTTAGCCATTAAATCCCACAAAACCCTCTTCTGGAAACGGTATCATATCATGTTCTTCCATTCCACCAATTTTTTGCGCCAAATTCAATTTCGGTACAAATTTTTCATATCTAATCTGATATTTCTTGAAAACTGGTTGAACTTTGACAAACTGTTTTTTACCCATATGTATTACAAATTTGAAATGTAAATATTTATTTATTTATTTATTCATTCCAAACAGACAAATTGTCTAATTACATGGAAAATTATAATATTTACTAATATTCTTCCAAATAATGTGCATGGTAACAACAGTAGCTTGAGAACTGCAGCAATTTGCATCACTTAAACAAATTAATAATAATAAAAATATAAAGAGAAAAATATAAAAAGAAACATATAGAAAGAAAAATATAGGGTGCGAATCAAGGTAATAGCTATAATTAAATAGATTTCGAATTATATTATAAAATTTGTACATCGATGGTTGGAAAAAATCAATATTATGTGTTAATGAGACATGGTTAACCAAACGAGACATGACTAAAAATGGTGAACTGTAAATAGTTTTAACAACAGGTATAAAAAGTAAACGGTAGTGTCTGGCTGTTATGGGTGAAATATTAAATTTAAATAATGATAAAATATACGAGTCATTTATAAGATTATTTAGTATTTTATAGACAAACACTAATGACGCAATGCTTCTGCGATTAAAAAGTGTATTCAATTGAAACTCTTGACATAAATGCATTGTTCTGGTAATGTTATAATCAGGAGGTCTATTATATTTTTTAAAATACAAAAAACGCAGAAATTTTCCTGCACTCTTTCACATTTATCTAAATGTTTTTTAGGTTGAGAATACCATAGAACAGAACAGTACTCTAGTTTAGATCTAACTAACGAGTTATATAATAAAATAAGACATTTTACATTGCTTAAATGTTTGGACTCTCTTATTATAAATCCTAATGATTTAAAAGCCGAATTAACAATATTATCTATATGTCCTCTATATGATAACTTTGTATCCACAGTCACACCAAGATCCTTCACAGATGTTACCCTTTTAAGTTCGGTCTGATTCATTAAGTAAGAAAAAATAATTGGAGCACTATTTCTTGTGAATGACATATTATAACATTTTTTAATATTAAAATCAAGTTGATTACTAATACTCCAATTAACAACAGCATTAATGTCGTCTTGTAATAGTTTGCAGTCGTGATTCGACTCTATTTCTCTAAAAATTTTCAAATCATCAGCAAACAGTAAACATGTTGAACTTGACACCACTTCGGGTAAATCATTGATAAAAAATAAAAATAACAAGGGTCCCAAATTTGAACCCTGCGGCACCTCAGAAAGTGCTCTAAATTCGTCAGAGTACATATTACCATATTTTACCATAAAACGCCTATCTTTCAGATACAACATTAACAAATTCAATGTATTATGAGAAACTCCATAAAAACACAATTTTTTAACAATATATTATGTGCTACACGATCAAAAGCCTTCTGAAAATCTGTAAAAATTGTATCAACTTGAATTTTTCGTTCAAATGCTTGATGAATTTTAATATTAAATGATAAAAGATTTGTTAAGGACGATTTTCTCGGTATAAAACCAATATAGAAATGAAACTACTCAAGTGGGCCCATAAATAATTGTACAAAATTTGTTCAAATAACTTGGCAGGAGCAGGTAACACAGAAATTGGCCTATAATTTTTATTATCTGTCCTCTTACCTGTTTTAAAAATCGGAGTTACACTGGATATTTTCCACGCATGTGGAAATATGCCTTTTGCTAAACATAAATTATAAATATATAATAGTGGTATTTTCAGATAATCAGAACAGCCCTTTATGATATATGGTGGTATACCATCAGATCCAGCACCCTTTTTTCCCTTAAGTTTTTTCACCGACTTAATCTAATCAGACTCAGTAATGGATAAGATATTAAATATAGGAATGTTATTGTAACTGGTTAAGTAACTGGTATTGTAGTCTGTAGGAATTGATGCATATACTGAACAAAAGTATTTAGCAAAACAATCTGGAATGTTATTATCTAAGATAGGGACATTATTGTCGTAAAACTGTGCATTTTCAGATACTGATTTTCTCTTGTCTTTAATATAATTAAAAAATTGCTTAGTGTCCCTAGTTATCCCATTCTCAACCTCTCTTAAGTAATTCTGATGTTCTTTACTGATAAGTTGTTTTAATTGTTGTCTACAACTAATAAATTTATTCTTATATGTGTCAGAAATATATTTTAATTTCCTATACTTCTCTTTTTCTTTAAGCAGCACTTGTATATCTTTAGTAAAGTAACAAGGATATTTATTCCTATAAGATTGTTTAATATTAAATTTAATTACAGTTCTATCAAATACGTCATTAATTATATCATAAAATTTAGCCACAGCCAGATCTACATCCAATTGGCAGGTTACTTCAGACCAATCACAATTCTGCATTATATAGCTCATCTTCAAAAAGTCTGCCTTTTTAAAGTTATATAAAAGTTTACCATTTGTTTCCGAATACTTAGGTCCCAATTGATCACCAGAACCAATGTCAATTTCAAGCGTGGGATGATGAGAATCTTGTAACAGTATAGCTTCACATTTAGATACGACACATAATTTATTATCATTATATGTCAGTACAAAGTCAAGAATATTATTGTTTTCATTTAAAACATAATTAAAATTACTAAATGACATAAATCGCAAAAAATTATTAAAATCATTAGTTTTTCTATTTATAATTTTCTTATTAACATCAGATAAGTTAAAATCCCCTATTACATATACATTAGGACACACTGAATTTTGCTCAACAACGTCATATATTTCAGAATAAGTATTACTATTTGTATTTGGTGGAATGTACAACAAAATAAATGTATAATGAACTTTTCTAAATTTAACATTTACAGCCAATACTTCTGATCGTTCTTGATATTTTGTAACTTTTGTTATCTTTACATTATTTGCTTTTTTAATGGCCACCAATGAACACCACCAACTCTTAAGTCATTTCCTCGATCACATCTAATTATATGTATAATAAAGTGAATTATTAAATATCTCACCGTCAAATATCCCGCTTACCAACTATGTCTCACTCAACATTACAACATCATAGTGACAATCTAATGTATTGATATACAATTTTGTTCGCAGCCCCCTGCAATTTTGATAATAAACTAACAACAAGTAGATATACCTAAAAAAACAAAAATAAACACAACTACAAAAATAATTAATTACAAAAATAAGGAAAATGAAATATGTATATATGAACAAGAGAGAGTTCCCAGCGGCCCGCAACCTGTATATTAATCTTGGAAATCTTCGACGTAAATCCTCTTCGTAATGTTATTAATTTTAACAAACACCTTATCTTGAAAAGTCCATACATTTCGATTAGCATATTTCGCAGCGGCCTTCCTATACAAAATTAACGTTTCTTTTGATAGCTCCTCGTATATCCTACTCCACTGCCCTTCAAACGTTTTCTATTGTTAAGAACTAATTGTCTATCTCTAATAGTGTAAACTTTAGCATGTTAAATAAAGAATTCCTTATTTACGTTAAAAATGCCGTCTATTTAAATAAAAAAAGTCCTAGAAAATCAACTCAGTACTTTTACAAAAACTGCTGCTTCTGAATGGATACTGATTTTTCCAATCACCGTCGACTATTTCAGAATATCAAATTTCAAAGAAACTAATCTACTACTATTTAAAAAACAAATAAAAGCTATTAATTTTATGCCGTGGCTTAGATGCCTCCTCTCTGCCATGTCAGTTAGGCTTTATCTAGGAATCTTTGACCTATTCTTGTTCTTTTCGGGATAGGCTACGACTCACTATCAGAACCCCTAAGACTGTCCTGATGTTCGTTTCGGTTCTTATTGATTCTAGAGCCACTATGGACGGAACCACTTCTCAAGCCATGGTAAATCCCTAAGACATTTCGTAGTGGTATCTGTAATTAGTCACATCCAATACATCCAAGCATTGGAAAAGCCTTAAAGCCACCATCTTTAAGAAGCATTTTAGGACATATGATCATCAGAACTTATTTTCTTTATTTTACCTATTTTTTAACCATTATTTGTCAAAGATTATGGTTATCCAAATTATTTCAAGTCGTTGAGGCATGTCATTGACATTGATACGTTAATGTCCAAAAACTTGGTCTAGATGGAAATACACTTTTAGTACTTATAAGCAAAATAGTTTGGTTGTTTCCATAAAATACAATGTTTCTCTGTTTAGTTATATCTTCCTCTATGGTAAATTTCTTCTAAATAAAGAACGCAAAAGGTTTTGTGGCTTTTAAAACAGAAATAGAGTCTGTTTCACCATGCGTAGGTAGTTTAGATTCTAGAGGTACTAAAATATTTTTTACTTTTCAGTCATGTACGGAAGACGCTTACCAGTACTGACGGCATCATTGGCTGTGATAAACTTATGTACCTGTGCTAATATTCTAATGATAACGATGGGAGGCACCAAATCCCACAAAATCCCCTTCTGGGAGCTGGCGAGAGGACTGATTCCACGAGGCCACAACGTGACGTTTATCAACGCCTTTCCCGCGGACTTTCTTCTACCGGGACTAGAAGAAATTAGTCCTGCGGGGTTAGTTTTCTACGTGAAAAATTTCACCAATTGGGATCTTGTAGGGAACAGGATAAAGGGGGAGGAACCTGTGCCACCGTTGGATATGGTGCGGTATGGTTATGAGGTAGAAGCAGATTATTTATTATGTTTTAAATTGTAAAATTAACAAAAGATAAGAGTAAATTATATTCAATTTATGAGCTTTGACATTGATCTTCAAATCCACTTGTACCCAAGTATACAGAAGTATATAAGAAAAATACAGCTACTCTCATATGAGTGAAAGTAATTAAATGTTGAAATTATATTTTACAAACAAGCATCATACACTGAGCTCGTAAAGTTTGGAATAAATTCGAAAAATCGTTATTGAAGGGTTTTGACAGAAAATCCTCGGACACGTCAACTTTAGTTTATAAAATGTCACTTTTTTCAGCCATCGACTTTTTATTTGTTTTGTTTGTTTTTGATCTATGACGTCATCGGCAATTTTTTTAAATGGCAGCCCATATTTTTTTCCACGGATTTCGATAGAGCACATTTTTCTGAGTACGAATATGTCAAAAACGTATGACCTTCAAGATGGAAGTTTTCGAGATATTCGGTTCCAAAGTTTCAAGAATACATTATACAAGCGATGACAAAATACTAATCATTTATCAAGGAAGCGCTGGAAAAATTACAGTTTTGATAGTTGAAGTTTGTCCTTGCAAGTTTGTGTTTTAAACTGTCTATTATCTCGAAAACTTCCATCTTGAAGGTCATACGTTTTTGACATATTCATACTCCGTAACTGATCATAAAAATTTCGATTCTTTCCCTTTCACTCAAACGACGGACCATTTTCAAATAAAATGAATTCTGATGGAATAATGATTAATCAACTTAAAATAAAACACAAACTTGCGAGGACAAACTTCAACTATCAAAACTGTAATTTTTCCAGCGCTTCCTTGATAAATGATTAGTATTTTGTCATCGGTTGTATAATGTATTCTTGAAACTTTGGAACCGAATATCTCGAAAACTTCCATCTTGAAGGTCATACGTTTTTGACGTATTCGTACTCAGAAAAATATGCTCTATCGAAATCCGTGTAAAAAAATATGGGCTGCCATTTAAAAAAATTGCCGATGACGTCATACATCAAAAACAAACAAAACAAAAAAAAAGTCGATGGCTGAAAAAAGTGACATTTTATATACTAAAGTTGACGTGTCCGAGGATTTCCTTTCAAAACCCTTCAATAACGATTTTTCGAATTTATTCCAAACTTTACGAGCTCAGTGTATAATCTCACTTTACTCCAATATTTTGAAATTAATCTCTTAATACCTACTTTAGTTTTTGATGGTTGATAGTTTGGTATTGTCAGCTGAAAAGGAAAACATACAGGGTGTTTCAGAAAGACCTCCCTTAAATTCGGGGGGTGATAGTACGACAAAAAATTAGAATTTTTTGTCTTATGAACTATATATCTATCTCCTCTTGTTTTCGAGATACAGAGCGACAAAATAAAATTTTTTAAATATAATTTTTGCGAAAATTTCCAAACGGTGCGAAATATTTTATGAAATTTGCTATTCCGGGATTTTTAAAGATGCCAAATACGCTGGTCTAATTATTTTTTGGATATTTCATAGAGGGCGCTAGTTACGCTACATTCCTATTACATTTTAAGTTCTAATTTTTTTAAGGTTAGGTTTTTTACCATTCGGGTTCTAATTTCTAATGAGTGATTGTTAGTGACTGTAGTTAGTAATGACTAATTACAGTCACTAAAATTTTGATATAAAGTTAATTAGAGTTTAAAATATTACTGGGAATGTATGCGTTGTTTATAAGACATTCATCAATAAGTTTTAACATAAGCCTACTTTGAGAAAAGTCACTCATTTTCTACAGCGTAATATTGTAAGAGTTCAATTAAAAGCCTTTTTTCTCGAAAACCGTCCACATTAAGAAGTTCTACCAGGAGTGCATTATTTTTAGAAAATAAAATTGTACATTAGAAATTGGAGCCCGAATACCCAACCTCAAAAAAATTAGAACTTTAAATTTTATACGAATGTAGCATAACTAGCGTCCTCTATAAAATATACAAAAAATAATTAGACCAGCGTATTTGTGTCCTTAAAAACCACGGAATACCAAATTTCATAAAAATATTTCGCGTGGTTTAGAAATTTTCGTAAAAATTCTATTTAAAAATTTTTATTTTGTCGCTCTGTACCTCGAAAACAAGAGGAGATAGACATATAGTACATAACACAAAAAATTCTTATTTTTTGTAATGCTATCACCCCCCATTTACGGAAGGTCTTTCTGAAACACCCTGTATAATGTGAAATAAAAATCATTAAAATGTGAAACAAAAAAAAATGCGTCATTTTTTAAATAGGAATGTTTTCATCATAATTCGACAGAAGTAAGACATACTTACATATCTAAATACAGTTATACCCCTTAAATAAGACCTTTCATTCTATTTAGAATTTGTGAGTTGATTTTACCCAGAAACTTTTTTTCTGAGAATAATCTAAGGATCTTAATTTCAAAAAAGAACATCACTATTACTGAACGTAGCGTTATAATGAAAATATGGCAGAAAACCATTTAAAAAAAATTGTTTTCCTCTTTTGGTGTTTTTCAAAAATTGTTTGTTGAACATTTAATAATATAACTTTTCTTACGTACTTTATAATTATGCAAGACCTTAATTTTATCTGTTTGGACCTACTTTTCGTTATTTTCAAATATTAGGACTAAATAATATTTGACATATTTCCTGCCCAATATTTGCAAACCACTTTAATAGAAGTAATGGAGAGTTGAAGGATAATATACGCATTTTGAATATATCTTTTTAGCAGTTGACCATTTAATGTTAGCTCTGCTGAAATATAATATGTAATATAGTAACGTATAATTTATTTAATAAATTAATAGAAAGGTGCTACTAACTAATTGATAGATTGACCTCATTTATGATGAAATCATTGCAATTACTTAACGCAGGAAGTAAGATACTAAACCTTACATGGTCCTAGGTCAGTCAACAAAGGATAGAATGGTTAAACATTTAAAAAATGTGTTTATTTAACTAGTTTTGCATATCTTAACAATTTTCTCATATTTGAACATGAATATACGACTTGATTTACTGCCAGTTGTACAATATTTAAAACTATTAATTTACTAACATTCTGATTCACTAATGGATTATCATATATTTACGGGGATATATCTAAAAGATGTTTCAGAATAACTCACTATAAATTCCAGATTAATACAGAATAAAAATTTATATTGAAATCTGGTAGGCACATATTTTGAGAAGCTCTAAATAGCCCGATTTCTAAATAACCTATACATATTTTTATTATTATTCAATCGGTGCAAAAATTAAATGCCAATTTTTTAAGTTTTCTATTATTTTGTACGAATAAAAATCTGCACTGTTATGAGTTCTTTTGTACAGGGTGGTCCGAATTTTATTCAGGAAACTTCGAGGGCAGATAGATCTCTTTAAAATAATATATGTTTGTCTTATAAACATTGGTCTGGAACAGCCCCGTTTTAGAGATACAGTTGTTGAAAAAAATTGATTTCTTGTTTATATCTTCAGACTCTATTAACCGATCTCCATAAAATTTGGTACAGATAATGTATGATAGTAGGCCTTACATTCCCTAAAATATGAGCTCTAACGGTTCAACCAGTGGTGTGCAACTAGACAAGGGTCATCCTTTTTTTACAAAAAACTACGCCACTGCATTTTTCACAAGTTATTGTAACTGATTTATATTCTTATGCACAAAATACGTAAAAAGGTAACATACATTTTTTCCATAAGATTCGCCGTTTTCAAGTTATTCATACCAATACAATCCCCTTGTGCAGACATTGCTAACCATAATATTACAAGAATATTTATGTTTATACTTAAAAGTAAGTGCAATTTGTAAGCACATCAACGAAATTCTTTACACTCGTTTCCACGCCACCTGTGAGGTAGAGTCTCTTACGCGTTTTAGTTTCCCCTGGAAGCCTAATCCACTATCTTTACAAATAAGAACAACTTAAATCAAAATAATAATAAATGTACATTTATCAAAAGCGAGGGGTAGTGAATTTTCACAATCTGCATATTTGGTCACAAGAAAATCCTCATGAAATTCGGACAAGATCTTTTTAACACGAATTTTCTGTGAACACGTGTCTCGGAATAATTCGCAATAAAGTTTGTGGACCTTTCTTCTTGCCACCTCGTCTAAATTCCTAGTCATTTCTAAACTTTCTAGAAAACCATCTATTTGAATTATTAGATTATATTCCATTAAATATACGACAAAATAACTGGATACAATGGATGGTGCTCCTGCGTATTCTGGGAGAATAATATGAGAATGGCTTAATGAAAATTATATGGGGCGATGGATAGGTAGAAGACCAAATGCCAATGTCAACCATAATGGTACAGAGAGTCCAGTGTCTTGGCCAGCCAGATTGCCATATCTAAACCCTCTAGACTTCTATGTTTGAAGTTATCTGAAAAGTAAAGTTTATTCTACTTACTCCAACCACAACTACTGCAACGAATAGAAGGCGGGTGTAATGAATTAAAAGAAAACCACATGATATTAGCTTCAATTAATTCCATTAATAGAAGATGTCAGAAATGTATCGATGTGGGTGGTTCGCATTTTGAACAATTGTTGTAATAACTAACGTTAATTTTGATTTCTTGTTTAGCTGATGTTGCTTGGTAAATATATTCTTATTATTATTTTGATTTAAATTATTCTTATTTGTTAAGAGTATTAGCCCTCCAGGAAAAACTAAAACACGCCAGGAACACTACCTCACAGGTGGTGTAAAAAGGAGTGTAAATAATTTTGTTGATATGCTTACAAATTGCACTTACTTTTAAGCATAAACATAAATATTCTTGCAATATTATGGTTAGAGTGTTTGCCACAAGATAATTATATTGGTATGAATAACTTAAGAACTGCGAATCTTAGGGAAAAAATTAAAGACACCTTTTTTCGTATTTTGTGCATTAAAATATAAATCAGTTACAATAACTTGTAAAAAATGCAGTGGCGTAGGTTTCTTTGTAAAAAAGGGGTGACCCCTGTCCAGTTGTACACCACTGCTTGAAACTTTAAAGCTCATATTTTAGGGGATGTAAGATAATGCATGATAATGTATTATACATTATCTGTACCAAATTTTATTGAGATCTGTTAATAGATTTCGGAGATATAAACAAGAAATTAATTTTTTTAACAACTTCAACACCCTGCATTTCTGAAACGGGGCTGTTCCAGACCAATGTTTAGAAGGCAAACACATATTATTTTAAAGAGATCTATCTGCCTTCGAAGTTTCCTGCATAAAATTCGGACCAGCCTGTATTTACTAAATCTGCAATTACACAATTTCATAATCTTTTTTAATGTGTCTGTAAATCACAGATCTGGTAATTTGGTAATTCTTACAGTACTGAATAAAGCATTCATAACAAAAGATATAAAATACTTACATTTCGTTTATATCATTGAGAATACGAATATTAATTAATTGTTCATAGAAATTTCAGAAGCATAAACTATTTTCGCGATGGCATAAATTAATTCTACTTTTTTTAAGAAAACATTGACGCTGGGTAACTTTTAAGTTTTTTAAAAGCATATTTACTTCATGTGAGTGAATATTTGGATACAAAAATATTAAATTAGATTTTGTATTATCCTAATATGCAATATTATTTTACGGTTTGCAGAAATTGAGCACAAACAAAAAACACAGCTAAGTGTGGACTCACCTCCAGTTTTTTATCTTTTTCTCGAAAATGTGCGATTTGGTGAATTTTAATAAATCAAGCTATTTAGGGCTTCTTAAACTATATACCTACCAAACCTCAAAACGAACACAATATGGCGAATACTTGTAGAAGCATTGATAAAGCTAGTTTTAATAAATTAGCTTCAGTATCCTGTATCTTAAAATCAAAAAAGCGATAAATCTTTGGCTCATAGACTTAGCTCTGTATATTTTTAGGCATGCGAGGTTCTTCTTTCCGACACTGAAACAAAGGACTTCCTCTACTCTCGCCACAGATTCGACCTCCTAATTCTAGATGGAGCCTATCCTGAATGTGCACTAGGATTTGTACACCACTTTAACGCTCCATTCATGTACATCAACACTGTGGGTTTTTACATGGGATCTATCTCATTAGCAGGGAGTCCCACGCCTTATTCTGTAACGCCATTCCTGGCGTTGTCTTTGACAGACAATATGAACTTGTACCAAAGGACTAAAAATACACTTTGGAATGTCGCTGCCAATGCCATGCACTCAGTAATGGTAAGTAATTTTTCTAATTTTTGTAGTTGTAGTTATTAATATATCAAGGCTAGATTAGAAATGCAGGGAGTAATAGCAACACAGCGACATTCTTTAAGATATTTTCTCATCAAGTATACAAAAACAAACAACAGTAATATTTCCTTCTAAACCGTTTTTTAAAAGCTCTATGGTGCTTCAAAGGAACACAGTTCTAATCAATGCTTAAGAACAAGTGAAGATAGGAACCTCAAATTGAGTACAGTGCAGATCTATCATACAACCAATAAGATTAGAACCGAATATAATTAATATTGTCGTGATTAAGAAGGGTCAAACATTTCGACTAAAAAAACACTTTGAATTAAGTTATCTTCACCAACAAATTTTGTCATTTATCACTTCCGTAGAATACATCAATTAATAATAACCATATCAAGGATGAAATCCAATTTTTCCTGCACTTTCAACCACGTAACTTTGTAAACGTTCAATTCATTCATTTGACTATATCTATTTTATTTAGATTTACGAAGGTTGCCTTTCATATTTCGGGAATAGAGAACATAAAAAAATAAATCATCGTATACAGCTTTATTGTTTTTCAAAATATTCTCCATGAAATCTCTTGTGTGAGCCGATGTGTGAGAGCGCGCATTGTCCTGGTGGAGAATGGTGCGCCTTCGGCTATTGGTTTCCCTTATTTTTCCGACTTCTGGCAAACAAATGGGGTTGTGTACCATTCCCAAGGATGCCTCAATCTCACGATAAGTCACATGACGATCTTAAAATATCAGTTCACGCACAGCATCAATGTTTTCTGGAGCAACAACAAATTTTGGATGACCTACACGAAATTCGTCAGTGAGCGAACCTCTGCCACCAATGGATATATACAGTGGTTTTTGATGGTGCGTCATTGCGAAAAATCGAATTAATGTCATCGATGCACCGTTAAGAAAATCTACATCGAAAATTGTAAAAAATAATCGCACAGAAATGTTCGTGACTTAAGTCCATTTTTTGGCGAAGGTGATTTTTCAATTGGAAACCACACAAATAACGCCTGTACGAAGTTCTGAGAAAGTCGTCATATCGACTATTCCCGAAATATACATAAAAGGCAACCCTTGTATGAAAAACTTTATTTTCTCGAGCGTATACAGGGTATATCACGGTGACGGCCTTCGAGTTGAATTTTGGAAATTACTATTATTATTAATTATATATTATTGCAATTTTGGATTCTACGTGTTATTTTAGGTGGACTTTTATGAAGTTTCCCTATTCCTAAAATTAACCGTTTTCGAGATATTTAATTTTTTTTAACAAAATGGAGAGAAACGGTGACTAGCTTCAAACCATGTGATTTTTATAATAAGAAAGATAAAGCAACAATATTTATAGGGGGAATAGCTAGACCCCTAAGCTTCCCATCCATACTTTCAAAGTGGCTTAATTGCGTGCAGGGTTGCAAGTCGGTTTTTTTAAATGGAACACCCCGTATGTTTTCTATATTCTGATACACAATTTTATTCTCTCTCGAACGGTATCAGGGTTTCCTATACCTATCTACGCCTAGAACCGTGGAATTGGCCAGTGGTCTAATGGAGTGAGGTTGGAAGACCTCACTCCATTAGATTTTTATGTTTGGGGAGTAATAAAGCAAAAATCCATTAGATTTTTATGTTTGGGGAGTTCCATAAATTGCCTGCAGCTAAAATAACAAAAGCGGTGACTGATGGTGTTATCTCTAGAATCCACAAGTGCTTAGCTGTTAATGGAGGTCAAATTAAACACTTATGACTTTTTTAAGTTATTTATTTTATCTTAGTGCAGTATTATTATCAACATACATAATTGTGTATTACTATGTATGAAGTTGATTTTTTAGCATTCTTCTTAACTTTATCTGCTCATTGGTGGAAAATTGGGTTATGTCTCATTAAAAACTGTAAATGTTCTGCTTAGAATTCCATTGCAACGTCTGGGAATAAATAATAATAAATAACTGGTAACAGTTTAGTTGTTTGTTTTGGTTTTGCTAAAAATTCCACAGCTATCCTCGCAAGAAATTACATGATTTTAGGTGATTACACAAAAAGTAATAGATAACTTAAAAACTAGAAGAGATATGTATAGGAAACCCTGATACCGTTCGAAAGAGAATAAAATTGTGTATTAGAATATAGAAAAACATACAGGGTGTCCCATTTATAAAAACCGACATATGAAGGTTTAAAGTTAACTAAACTCGGCATTAAATTTCTAGCACCCTGTATGCAATTAAGCCAGTATGGAAGTATGGAAGGGAAGCTTGGGGGTCTAGCTACTGCCTCTATAAATATTGTTGCTTTATCTTTCTTACTATAAGATACCATGATACCATATACCATTTTTTTGAAAAAAATTAAAACTCTCGAAAACGGTTAATTTTAGGAATAGGGAAACTTCATAAAAGTCCACCTAAAATAACACGTAGAATCCAAAATTGCAATAATATATAGGGTGTTCCATTTAAAATGAGCAAGTTGATGGCGACTTCCGGTATAACCGGAAGTGGTACGTGGACGCCATGATTTTAGTTGAAAAGGGCATTCAGAGAAAATGTTACTTTTATTTTAAAACGCATTGAATTTTTATTTACATCATATTTAATCAATATAAATATTCTCATAAATTTCATAACAAAACATCATTTTTTATAAAATATATCATAAAATTCACGAAGGTAATATTTTCACAACTTCCACGTCAATTGCTCAATAGTTTTTTTTTATATTTCGCGTTTATTTGATATCAGACTGATTCATTTTATCGCAAAAGTGAAATAATATAAAATTTATAACCAAATAAAAAGTTTGATGTTGCCTATAAATAATTTTTCGCAATTTCTAATTGTTTCTCTTTTATAAAATCATGAGTCACCCACCCACGGTATATGACGTTGATTTCTCATACAATGGAAATGTGATAAAAATATTTCATTGTTAAACAATATTTAATCAAACTATGACAGACATTAAACTTAAAATTATTAATAATTTGTTATCACCAAAGCATATTAATGATGTAGCTGTGCATAAAAAGCAAAATCAAAATTTTGATTATAGAAAATGACTTTCTGTAGGTAAGGTCAAATAGTGGAAGAATAAATTTGGAACACCCAATATGAATGAATGAAGCGTTTGCAGGCTTATGTTCATATTTCATTAATATATTTTTTTTAACATTGCAGCACATTTTAGGTGTAGAAGCAACAATTTTTCATTAACAAAATTTGACTTATCTAAATTATAACTGTTTTTCATTTTTGTTTAGGATATCGCAGTGTATTTTATAATTTTGTGTTGTATAGAAAAAAAATTAAACTCAAGGAAAGCACTTTCAGTGAAGAAAGGAACACAAAAATTAATTATTGATCCTTTGACTGAGATCGATGACATTCCAAAGGAGATAACAAAAAGTATGCTGATGTTAGAGAAATACTTGAATGAATACATTTTGAAATACGCGTAACTTAAAAAGAAATATTTATGATCACTTTCTGAATCAGCAGTAAATTACGTGAAACCATTTTTCAATAAATTGTGTCACTATGTAAAAAAGCATGTGTTTACCAAGACACATTTGAATAATCATTACGTGTTTAGGAATGTAATGAATCCAGACACCTATACATACCATTTACATAATAAATTTTGCAATTTTTACTAGTGTTATTTAGGAGATATGATAAAGCTATTGTAGAAACTACAGAAGTCTTTATTTTCGGATGTACACAGTGTGCTGCAATATATAAACACAATCAACACTTATTGAATCCAATACGTTCATTAAGAATATCTACATCTACACATTTCATGTTGTAATGTTACCAAATAAACACATTTTAGACTATCTGCTCTTACACCAAATCTCGATTAAGGTCGCTGACACACAGCGACTGCCCAACCATGACTTCACTGTAAAATGTTTAATTACAAAGGTTAAGAGAAGAAATTCATCCCAAAAAAGTCGGTGATGTAGAATACCGTTTTACCTTGGATTTCAGATTTTCGTTTAATCGATATGTTAATAAACTTCGACAGAAACGCTCCAAATATTACAGGTTTACATGTATTCTAGTTTAAGGTCGACGAGTGACTTACTTAAAAATACAATTGCATTATTGGAAAATTGCCATAGTGTAGAAAAATTAATGATTTTAAATTTAATTTTAATTTGATACGAACATATTTTGAAAAATATACATATTTTCAATTTGGCATATAATTAAATTAAATTATATACGCAAAAGTATTAGAAAATTAACTGTCAAATTATCATTATATTTGCCAATTCTGTCCTTTTAAAAATAAATAGTTCATAGTAATTTATTTATTTATTTAAATTATTTCATTCTAATAAATAATTATAGTATTTTATTTATTACTACTAATAAAAAAAGGCGAGTGTAATGGCCATACAGGAGAAATACAGTGGCTGTTGGAAGAGATAACCATTAAACTAACAAATATAATGGCCATTCCCTTCATATAGACATTTAATATTTTTAATAAAATTTTCAATCAATGTCCACGTGGCAGGTGCGTGCCTTGAAATTTTCCGACAATGTCTTTATACCTTAGGTGTCAAATGCGGTTAAATCCAAGAAAGTGACGCAAGGGTCTTCTTGGAATTCTATCTCAACAAATATCGTATGGATTGTACCTTCGAGTATTATAAAAAGTTCAACATTTCCTAAAGAAAAAAATAGAAAATAGAAGCCAAAAATCGTTCAAAGTAAACAGGCTAATAGACTACAAGCCCATCGAAAAATTTCAAGGGGTCATTGAATTACTTATAAATCAATACTACCTACCACATATAACAATTTTGGAAACTATGCTTGTTGGTACGGGTGAGTACACAGTAAGCTAAACCAGTGTACCAAGGCGGGTGGTTTTCGGTAAAACATTTTTGTACGGCATTTCTCAAATATATATGTTATACAAAAAAAAATGAACCTCGACCTAATG